CTTACGAGGCCTCGGAGGTCGCGGTGGCCTAGGCGGTCGCGAATGGCTGTCACGAGGATGACCGGTCCTGGCAAGTCCGAGGCCAAGACCGGCAGCAGGATCTTCGTCCTCGCCGCTGTGACTGTCCTCCTCGTCGTTCGGCCGTTGCCTTGTTTGTTGCTGTTGTTGTTGCTGTTGCTGCTGCTGCTTTGCGGTGGCCAAACTCTCTCTCTGTGCCAACATACGTTGGGCTCGTTCTCGTCTCCGATTCCTCTGATTCCGTTGTTTCGCCTCGATCTCCATCTCGAGGCAGACGTCCTGTTCCCGTACGAGAGGCCGTTGTCGCGCCCCGATACGAGCTGGTCGTCACCACCTCACGATCGAGGTGCCCTCAACGATTCAGCTTCCTCGATTCGGAAGAAGCCGTGAGAAAATTGGAGACGATCCTGGAGCAACCACGATGAACGCGAGAACGACGTAAACGATGACAAGCGTTGTATCGTGGTGTCGTCGAGCATTCTACTACGCGCGGTGGTCCTTAATGCTTCTTTATTACAAGAGAAAAAGAGAAAACTAGGAGACAGAAGAAGAAAATGAAAGAAAGAGAAACAAGGAAAGTATGATGGTGGAATGGAAAAACAGAGAAAACGAGAATAAGTGAATAAGAGAGATAGATGGAGTAAAAGAGAAAGAAGGACTGAGGGGAACCTACGGTGAAGAGAGCGCGAGTAAGAGAGCACACACTACCTTTAGATACACACTCTCACAAGACAGAACGTTTACCGACGGGACACACGCATTTATAACATTGGGGATTCGATTCCTTGTCTTCTTATATTCCAGGAATCAGTAAGTTCAATAGGACAGAGTTAACGAGAATTTTCGTCCGGAAAGACGTTCAAACGGTCACACGGTGTCACATCGATCGCGCTGCCAAGGAAGAGGAGAGAGTCCGGTGCGTGGCGAGGAGGCACGCGAAACACGCACGCACAGGGCGGACAGACAGAGAGCGATACACGGAGAGAAACAGAGAGACACTGGGCACAAACGGCACTATCATCGGCGAACACACTGTGCGCAATTAAACACGAATCACAGGCATTCTCGAATAGCTCCAATAGTATTCCAATGTATCGGCCATTCGAGTCGTTTCTTTTTCGCCATGATCACGATCATCATCATCATTCTTCTTCTTTTCTTTCTCCTTTTCCACCACGTCGTCGTCGACGACGTCCACCACCAGCACCAGTAACACTGCCGGCTTTCACGAGCTGTCTCGTCGTGCTCGAGCCCAAAAAATGCTCGTATCGATGATAAAGAGGCACGTATTATTGTTGCTTGACGGTGCCTCCACGAGTTGCCGTGGCTAGATGCACCCTGCGAGGGCACGAAGTACACCGATTGTTTGGAATGGCGGATCGAACGGGCACGCACGGTTGCCGCATCGTGTGGTAAAAATGGCCGCGACCTGCCCACACCGTGCTCGCGGTCTCGCACCTCTCTAACGTCGTCGTCACGGGACGATGACGCGTATCCCGCACTGCCACCGGTACATCTTCGATTCGCAGCCACGGACACGAGCTAGGGAAACCAACCAACCTAGCACACGCCCCGAATTACGCGTGGACGACGCGATCTCTCCTCTATACGCTGCTGCTGTTCTTGCTGCTTGCTAGCACGGCTATGCATTTCTGTCATTCGTCTATCTCTGTTTCTTTTCCTCACTCCCTCCTTTCCTCTTTCTCGCTTCCTCCACTACTGCCTTCTGCACGCTCCGTCTCCCTTCTACTGCAATCACTATTTCTCTCTGAATACAACGACCGAGAACATGGCGTACCTATGCTTCAAAGACGAACATACGAACAGAGATACGTTCGATGTATTCTATTGCCTGGGGTCGTGTCTCTTACACTATTACATTTCCCTCCCTTTAGTTTCTTTGTCCTAGTTATTTTCATTTTGTCACTAGATTATACTTCATAGCGCCACCTTTATGAATTGAAGATGATCCTTTATTTGCTAGTACGCAAAAATGCCGTTAGTAGGCACCACATGCTACGCATTGTTGTTACTGGCGGGTAAAAGAATCGATACCGAAAATTTCGATACAGAAGGTTGTAATTTATACATGTTTCTTAATCTAGTCAATTTTAAGAAAGCAGAAATATATAAATAACTAGTACTGTTCCTGGTAAGTACAAGATATTAAAAATAATGATTAATAATTTCTAGTTTTCTTTAAAAATTAAATGGCAATATAATCTTGAAATACAAGTTTGTAACATGAAGAAATTAGAACGTCCATTACCGATTTTCGACTATCGATACTTTCACTGTTAATGGATAATTATTACATTAGCAAGAAAAAGTAATTTGCTTATATTATTTTTTTGATTTTTACTATCTCTTGATATTATATCTGAAATAAATCTAACAATGTATTCAATTAACCAATAATTTTACAACTTTTTTCTTCCATAATTTCTAAATCGTTGAATATAATTTTTATTCTGTAATTATATAAATCTCATAAACCTCTTTCAATACAAAAAATGTAGAAATTATCTTCGTGATGAAATGGATTGGATGGATACATTAGACCGCACCTGTAAAGGCGCGCCTCTTTTGAACCAGTTCATGGGACCAATTACGCCCGCTGAGCAAACTTGTCCTATCGTTGGTGATTTTGTTCAACCGTTTTTGGCGATGGCCACGTTTCCAAATCCATATAGGTAATCTTGTCCTGACTCGCAACCAACGTGGGCTGTTTTCTTGCTCACCTACATACATAAAACATATATGTGCCGCATTGTATACAACTCGTCCTCCCGGAAGAATAATTCGAGATCACATTTTCATACTGTCATGCTTTTGTTTCAGATTTATCAGTCAACGATTTATTCATGTGCCGTATAAAGTCAACATATTATATTTATATGACTATATGTTTGACTAATTATTTATACAGGAATTACTTGGTTGCTGCTCCACTATCGTTCTCTCAATTTCTGTTATTGACATTGGCATGATTGCTCGATGAGATTGTAATACTATAGATCAATGCTTTTCTCCAAGGATACTACGATTGCGAGCTGTATATAGAGAACGAGATTAACGTCAAGGAAAACCAGGATAATGAAATTACGCGTGGAGAGAAGGCACACGAGAAACTCTACAAGATCATTCATCACTTCTAAGATTTCCTTGGAAACAACAATGATATTTATGTTGAACATGAGTATGGAATCTTAATTGATCTTTATTTTTTCTTAATTAATTTTAATAAGATTCTTTATACCATTTATAACTTTCATAAATTAACTTTATTTCTGTGATCTGATGAACGAATCCATGATTATTTTAAACAACGCATTAATCATAGAATTATAAGTTTATAAATTACTCTATAATTAGATATAAAAATGGATTATATAATATTTCTATTTTATGCTGTTTTTATTGCTTATTCTTTTTTTCTTTTTTTTACTTCTTACATCTTACGTAAGAGGAATGTAAAATTCTCTAACCACTAGTATTGTTGTTGAACTACGCAGTCGTGCCAATAGTACCTATTACAGTTTCACTGTTGAATGTAAACAGAGCGCATCGATGCAATATTGAGACATAAAATAACGATCAGCAACAACGTTAATACAATAATTATAATAATAATTATCTTGCGTCATTGTTCTACAATGATGAAAATTATCTAATTCTTCGAAGAAGAATTAATTAATATTTTCACATTTCCCAAATATATGTAAATGTAATTCTCTCTTTTTATTTTCTTCATTCTTTTTTTAAGCAACCTTTTTTGGTACCGGACGAAGAAGGCGTAAGCACAGATATTAAGATATGATATTTTGATTTTGTTCACGGATGAATCACTTCACACGCACGCGATATAAGGTATTCACTTGGAACGTTGCATTTGCATATTAACCCCCAATGCTAAAAATAAACTTGTGAAAATTCAATTTGATGTTCAAATATATTTTTCGATAACATCCTTTTAGAATCTGATATAAATCATCAATTCAATTATATAGATCTTAATTAATGACAGATTTTAAATATATCGTATAGTTTATCTGTATACATCCGTTTAAATGAAAGGAAAAAATTTATTTAATAAAAATTTTGTATTTCCAATTCATTAATTAATTAAAATTAAATTCTAAAGTGTTGAATAATTAACGCTTATATAAAATATAATATATTCGTGCAAACTCTTGATTATTTCATTAATATTTATATTGCAGTTGAAAAAGTTGAACTTTGTTCAAATCTTAAAGACTCGTTTACATACAATTTTGAAATCATTTACATATTATTACGTTTCATAAATATAAATAATCTCGATATTATTTTCACAGTTATTATATACATGGAATATATCGATGACACCATGGTGGAAGATCGACAGTGACCTCCTGACCGCTTTTATCGAAACACGGATGTCCTCGTCTCTCACCATATCCCTTACAGGTATTGTCCCTGATTCGATCGTTGTCCTTCCTTGTCTGACAAATATACCTTTTCACACGTACATACATTTTTATACATCCTTCTCCCTGTATTTAATATTACATATTAAATTATGAATTATCTACTTAATCTTATCGCAGAAAAATTCTTTATTAAAAATTTACCAAAATTTAATTGCTAAAAAGCGTATAAATAAACCAGATAAAGAGAAAGTATAAACAAAATATGAATGAATAAATCAAGAATACAAACACATAATTTAATAATAAATTGGTAATTAAAAGATTAAGAAAAAAATAGATTCCTTGATAATTTTCAACATGGTATTCCTTTCAGAACGGAATCAAATTCGTAAAATTTAGAAAAGGAACTATTACTGGTTTCCGATCGGGGTCCAACTCGATCATCTCATCACTGCTGATAGTTCGGGCGCGCTTCGTGCCGCTTCGGCGATCTTCGTCTCCCACTGAGGCACCCCAGTGGCTAGCATCAGACCCGTCAGAGAGCACTCGGCGAACGTGAGGGCAGTATCGTGAGCGCCGGCCACGGCAGCATGCGCGGGAATTTGGTTTGCCGCTCGTTTCCCGATTTTCCACGTTGCGATACCTCGCTCGTGACTTGACTTGAACCACGATCTCTCCTTGTGAATTTCATATTTTCTTTATTGTCGAAACGACAAATCAGTGAAGGAATATATCGTCCACGGATTTAAAAGCAGCGATCGTCGATAGAAATCAGGTGAAAAAAGTAAACACTGTTTAGACTCTTTCTTTCCTCTCTCTCTCTCTCTCTCGCTCGCTCGCTTGATCGCTCTCACTCTTGATCTTAGAATAAGATTATCTCATTCTACGATATTCTTATTTGTTTACACGAGATTTTAAAAACGGGTGTATTCTTATTATAGAGAAGCTTCCAATCGAATTGCTTTTTCCTAGAGGATGTTACGAGACTGGCATTGTCAGCTTCTTACGTAATTTGCCGTGCACGAGCTCCGATGGGAATCTTCCCAGTGCATTGGGTTGTAAAGACACGTTTCTAATCTCCATGCTTTTATTCCATTCCCCCCCCCCCCCCTCTTTAATCACATGTTCTCGATGCAAGATCGATTTTTCGCGATCTTATCTATATAATTGCGTTAATTTGAAATTTATTCATTCGCTTTACGCGTACGTTTACAATAGATTGAATTAATTTCATCTCGAGGCTGTTACGAATATTAAAACAAAAATTTATGTTCCTTTTCTCTAATTTTACACGAAAAGAGGTCAAGGTATTATGTTATTACCTTGCATAATTTTAAATACAATGAATTATATTTTTTCTTGTTTCTTTTGTGAATTGAAATTATTTAGAATTAAAGTTTTAAGTGGTTTTTAAGAAAACTTGATATTTTTTATCTCTTTTGTTAACATTTACACGATACAGATGTGATCAATCTTTCTTGTTTCGAGGAAAGATGGAAAACGTGTTATTTTGCCGCGCTTATTATTTTTCCTCAAAATGGCGACGTCCTTGTCGAGGTCACGTGTCCATCTCATTACCGCCCACAAGTGTCCCACCTGCTCTTCGATTGCTCTATTTATCTTTGTCGCTTTTCGTTTTCAGCCATGCATTTAAATCACCGGCGACGTGTCGAGTGGTGATTTAAATGCCGTCGGCAAACAATCGCGTTCGATTTACGATCGTCCATTTTAATTTACCATTTACATTATTTCCTGCCTTAATCGATGCTTTAAAATTTTAGAAATGTAGCGTAAAACACGAGAAAGAAAGGAAGAATGATAAAGAAAAACGTTCACAAAAATATTTTACAGGATTGATTATAACGAAAGAAAAGTATCACCAATTGGAATCATCTTTTTATATAAATAAAACATTTCAACGAACATCGACGAATTATAAAAAAAAAAAAAAAAAAATCGTAATATTCCGACGCAAGAATATTTAACAACACGATAATTTGATCACGTTTGAATAGTCAATTGGTTTATAATTTATAATTCACACGTGTAGAATTCGTTTCAAAGTGGCAATTGTTACGTAAGAGATTCTAATAGTTAATACGTGCGAAACCGTGTAATAAACGTACATCTTTATATATATATATATATAATATACCTCTTTATTATTGTATTCCTGTAACACTCGTAACTCGTAAAAACTCCTCTATATATAATTTTTCAGTACAATGGAACAGAGGCAAGGAGTGGAGTTTGTAAGCTTGGATGGAAATCGAGAAACTTCTGTGTTACAATGAGGCAGAAAAACGTCCTCCGCGGTGGACAGTTTTCACTTGTTCAGCCTCGCGCCGGCTGACGTGACACACGGCTGACGTCACACGCATATCCAATGAGAGAGGAGGCAGACACACTCGTATATAGAGAATCGTCGTTGAAGCGTGATGTCAATACGAATCGCACCTGTTTTTCGAAACTTCGCCTCGTCTCCTCGTTCTCCTCGCGAGACCCGCCCGCTCCCCCCCCCTCCCTTCACGTTATAATCGCGTCACACGCTCGATGCGCACCGGTTCGAAGCGGCGAACGATCGTTCTCTCCTTTGGTAGCCGTCATTTCATTTCTATCCGAGACGGTGCGTTATAAGTGCAGATTCTAAGGGAGGAAAAAGTCGAGATACTTACGTACCTGTTTCAGCTAGAAACGGGGAGAGCTCGTGCGTAATTCCAACCGCAAGGACGCGAGTGTTCAATGGCGTAGGCTTTCGTCCAATTTTAATTTTTCTAACGATAATTCCTCTCTCTCTCTCTCTTTCAATCTTTCCATATCGAACGATATCGATATTGTTAATTATCGTATTAAGATTTAAAATTTTGGAAGAGGGGAATTTAATACAAAATTTTAAATTCGAAGAAATTTTGATATTGAAAAAATCGAAGATAAAATTTTTCGTAGAATTTGTTTCGTTTTTTTTTTCTTTGATCTCTTGTCGAAATATTTTCTATTATTGAATCCATTTCCATAATGCTTGTGTGGGATCAACAGGGGTTAAACAGTAGAACAAATACGCCACTGCGGTCGGAAACTGGTCGTACGTGGCGCACGCGTGTCTTTAACCATCTCGATATCGTATCGCCAGCCCATATCGAGGTGGCCGCGACCACAGACCCGCGTGCCACCGCGGCCTTCGACTTCCATGCAGAAAGAGCGTCCTGATGAATTATTATGCCCCGCCTATGCGCGTATACACTCTCGCTCGAGCCGATACGTGGTCATGATTACGCGAGAAGCGTTAAATAGGCTGCATCTTCGATGCCTTCGACCGCATCGGTACGATCCTATTACTTGTCTCCATCTTGATGCTTCCCAATCATTTCTTCGAGTTAAGAAAAAAAAAAATTAAATCCACTTATCTTTCTGCCTCAGGATATATTTTTCCACGTTATCCACATTATCTACTCTTGTTGCAATGGATATTGTTAATTTAGGAATTTTAGAATACATTTTTATATATATATATATATTCTTATATATTCAATATTTTTTCTGAAATAATTTTTCCATATTATCCATATTATCTATTCTTGTATACAATGGATATTGTTAATTTAAGGAATTTTAGGATTATTATTTTTAATATTCTTATATATTCAATATTTTTTCTAGAGTAATTTTTCCATATTATCTATTTTTATGTGCAATGGATATTGTTAATTTAAGGAATTTTAAGAAAGGATATATGTTTATTACATATTTTTATATATTCAATATTTTTTCTGAAATAATTTTTCCATATTATCTATTTTTGTGTGCAATGGATATTGTTAATTTAAGGAATTTTAGGAAAGGATGTACGTTTATCATATATTCTTATATATTCAATATTTTTTTCTGGAATAATTTTTCCATATTATCTATTTTTGTGTGCAATGGATATTGTTAATTTAAGGAATTTTAAGAAAGGATACACGTTTATTACATATTCTTATATATTCAATATTTTTTCTGGAATAATTTTTCCATATTATCTATTTTTGTGTGCAATGGATATTGTTAATTTAAGGAATTTTAGGAAAGGATACACGTTTATTATATATTCTTATATATTCAACATTTTTATTTCAGAGAGGATAGATAGAAGGCACTCTTTTATTGGGAGAAATTAATTTAAGGAAGTTTAGGAAGGATACACATTTATTTTTATATATTATTTTTATATTTTATATTTTTTATTTTATATTTTATATTTTTATTTTTCATATATTATTTTTATATATTATATTCAACATTTTTATTTCAGAGAGGATAGATAGAACACATTCTTTTATTGAAAGAAATCCGTGAAACGAATAATTCAATAATGATTTCTTTAAGTTAAAAAAAAATTAAATCCACTTATCTTTTTGCTTCTGGAAAAATTTATCCACATTATCTATTTTTATGTGCAATGGATATTATTAATTTAAAGAATATTTTAGCAAAGGATATACTCTTTTATTGGGAAAAATTAATTTAAAGAAGTTTAAGAAGGATTCACACGTTTATTCTTGTATATATTCAACATTTTTATTCATATTTCAGAGAGGGGATAGATAGAAGGGAGAAATCCGTGAAACGAATAATTCCACTTCCTGTCACGACAGGATCATCTTCAACGGCATTCAGGATTCACCAGCAGGCATGATCGAATGATGGAGGTGATTTCAACACGCCGATACGAGGCCCGTCCACCGCCTGCGAGCCATCCACCGATTCTCGTGAGTAGATCCGAGATCCTCTTCTCCTTATACCTCACAAAGGAATAAATCATTTCCTTTTGCGCAGAGATTCGTGCATACAGTTACTTTTACTATGTATATGCACATATATATATATCTCTCTCTCTTACATGTACAGTCAGAGAAACCAGATTAATCATGCAACTTCTTTCTTTTCTTCTTTTCTTTTTGCAGATCGACCCTGAGAATTCCGTGGCTTTGGTCAAAGAAGGTAATTCCTCGAACGTGATTGTCATGCATTGTTTGCTCGTGATGCGGACGTTCAAGCTCGTGATTCAAATAACTAGATACAAGATAAGAGCGAAGGCGTGTCGCGCGCTAAACCGAGGTCTGGCAAACATTTACCGTGCACCGTATTAACTTCAGAATAAATTTCCTCTTATTCTTGTTCGACGTCGCGAAACGGATCGTAAACGGATCAACTTTTCCTTTTCTTCCTCCTCCTCCTTTCTCTCTCTCTCTCCTTCTCTTTCTCGCCTTTCGATTGTTCTCTCTCACTCCGAAGAGAGAAAGAGAGAGAGAGAGAGATTTTTAGTTTCTTCCCGAAAATTATATACCGAATTATATTCAACTCGTTTCCGCTTTCAGAGGAATGGGAGACACGGAAAAAGAAGGAAATAACTACGACCAGACAGATCGAGACGAGAGTGAAGCGACAAGTTGTGCTCGAGGATGGCGAAGTGGTGGTCGATTCAGGGCCCCTTGTCACCACCAATACCACCGAGGACGTCGAGCAACAGGAGCACACCACGCAGGAAGTAAAGCTAAATATTAATATTATTCCCTAAATTATTTTTCTAAATTTAACGTAACGTAACCAACGTATCTTTTGCCAATATTTCTTCTTCTCAGAGGCGCACGACCGGTGACCAACCGCAAGAAATTGAATGGGCGTCGGGTGGAAGGAGCTCCGTAGATGGAGCTAGCATAGTCCAGAAAGAATTGAACGAGACGATAGTGAGGAGTCGGGAGGAGATCGAGGAGAGGCTGGAGACCGAGGATCGTCAACAATTGGGAGATATCTCGGACGAGGTATATTCACGCGACACACCCACACCTAAATTCCACCTGCGCGTGCCGTGGATATATACGCCGGCAGTGTATGTGTGCGCGCGCACTTTCTTTCCCCCTCTCGCCGCGAAAAGGTCGACCAAAAGGCTTCTCTCGGCTCCCAAGGTTCATCCCACGCTACCACACGTCCACTACAGATCATTCTCTCTCTCTCTCTTTCTCTCTCTCTTTTGGAAGGCTGCGCTTCCTTTCCTTTCCCCGGGCCTGGACGCAAAAATTTCGTCCTTCTTTCGGCCAAGGCCGACTCTAGACGACCTTTGTTTACAGTTCGTGGTGTCGGTTAAAATTTACGAACGACGACGATTTCTTTCAAAGTGTGTCGCAAGGCGAGGCTTTCTCTTGGAGAGGAGAAATGTGTTCGAAACGTTGGTTAATATAATTGGAAAATTTTACGGGTGGCGTGTTTAAAGAAGAATGGAACGAATTCTCGGCGAACAATGTTAATTGTAAAGCCACGCTTCACAATTCTTCTTTTCCACGCGTTCGTTTCATTTACATACACTAGTACATAAAAGCCTATTACTAGTAGTTAGTTAGTTAGTAAATCAGAGGTATCGATCATCTGTGTATATGTATTTGCATCTCTTTGTTAAATCTCTTATTTTGCATATAGAGTCAATATCCTTTGTTCGATGATCGAGAAAACCGCAAATACCGTACCGATTTTTCCTCTCCGTCGCGAGGCGAATGCAGCATCTCTCGTCAGCGGATGATTAACGATAGACGGACACGGAAGGAAGCGGTATGCGCATGCAACGAGAGAAGGGATGCAACAGGTGTATCGTATTCTCGATCGTGTTTGTCACATTGCTTATCATAAATCTGTCTGGCAACCAGTCTGACAGGTTGGGGAACGTCTTTGTCCATGCGACTATGGAATTTCATCATATATACATATATATATCCAAATAATTGCAGGAATCGATAATAACGGTAAGAAAGACCGGTCGTAAAAAGCAATCGTTAAAAGGAACTTCTTTTTCCACCTCTCTACTCTTACCATGGCACGGTAACATTTCGAGTCGATCATTGTTACGTCTTGCACGAAAAAAGAAATAACAAAAACAACAACAACAATAACAACAACAACAACAGAAGAAAATATGAAGAATCTGTTTGAGAAGAAAGTGAAGATCCTACCTTAAGTAAGAGGATCGATGAAGCGAACAACTGGGATCACGGTGATGAGAATAAGGAGATATCTGGTTATGTGTGGTGGGGCGCCAACTTCTGGATTGCGAAACCTAGGCAACAGGTTATACGCGTTCGCGCATGAACGATTCAGAAACGAAGAGGTCGGATTGTTCTGGATGAAGAAGAACGAAAGGGAAGAGAGGAGGGGGGAGAGTAAGGAGATATATATATAAGCATGGGTGGAGAGAAAGAGAAAGGAAGAGAGCGAAGGAAGGAGAGTTTGATGGAACGAGAAAGAGGGAGCTCGACTCATCGAGAAGTGGAAGTCGATGATCTCTCGACTTTGCTCTCCCTTCACCGACGAATGGCGACGAACGGGCTGAGATGCCACGATCGCAGTCGACAGCAGCTGGTTCCACGCTCCTCGACTATCCTCGACTTGGCTTCCATCTCGGCCGATACACGTTCCACAGATTACTTCTCTTTCCTCTTCGCTCCGTTTACCGGACGATTACAGCGCGTATTACGTGATCCAACACGGTGATATCCTTTAGAGCGTCGGCACGGCGCACGGCTCTACTCGAGGCTGGATATATAGAGGAGATCCTTTGTCGGTATATATTGAATTGTATCAACTGAATGGAAACGTTTCTTTTTTTTTCTTCTTTCTTTCTTTTCGAGTGTACTTCGGGTGTCGTGGTGTTAGGTAATAGAATTTGGAAATATTATTGCTATTTCGTTGATATCCAAAGTGATCTCTGTCTATAGATTATTCGTTTTTATCGTTTTCACAGAAGAGTGATGAAATTAAAAAAAAAAAAGGAAAAGAAAAGTTGACGTTTCAATGGAAATATCGTAAAACTGAGATGCACCGTGTCGAAGATCCTCGCAACTCCGTTCATCAGTGCGATCCACGTGCTTAAGCGTAAAATCGTTCGAGATCGATAATAAAATTCAATTCTCTTCAAAAACTCTCGAAATTGTGATAACGAAAATACCTCGAGGAAAAATTTTTTTAAACAAATACCAAATTTAGAAACAATCTATTCGGTATGTACAATTTAATTATCCAACTGACCTTTAATGACCTCGACCAATTCAGATTCTTTCTTGAATCGCCTCTCTCTTTCTCTCTCATTCTCTCGTTACGTAATATCTATATTTAAAATATATTTTTCTCCTCGCTTTAATAACCATTATAATTGATATTCCGTATCAGCAATACTTTCCAAAGTATTACATGTCGCAATAAAATATCAATAATAGTTAAATTTATCGGCGATATTTCATTTCGACTCGGCTACAAACATCATTTTCACGTTTATTCGCACGAATATCGGCGAGTGTCGTGACCTTCGCGGTTAGAAACACCTTTCTTTCCACTTGTTCGCGTAGGGAGACAGCGTGGCGAAAGCCGGACGATCCGGTTTAGCATCGGGGGCCGCGATACATTTCGGTGATTCCTTCCTTCCTTCCTTCCTTCCTTCCTATATAATGGGCCGAAACGAAATGAGAATTCGTCCGGTTTCAGGCATACCAGAAGGCGGTGAGAAGCAACCATCGGGGTGATTTGAGAGCTGCCCTAGCCGAGTCTTGCAAACAGTTGGCGTCCCAAACCGGGCCCAGGGTCGTCCAGCACACGACCAAGTCGAACAAGGTGATCGACACCGAGAAAACCTTGGAGAGGAAGGAGTTTAAACCCGATGGATTGATCGTTACCGAGAGGAAACGTACGGTCGAGCACGAAGAGGTAATAATTTCTCTGGTAATTACTCGTTGCCCGCCGCCATTCAATTCTCGTTTTCCAAATAAACAGATCAACGACGACGAGGTGCCGGACGAGGGTGGGGGGGCGAGCGACGTGAACGGTGACGCCGCGTCGGAGAGACGGAAGGAGAGCTCGCAGAGGTTCTCAAAAAAGAGGGACGAGGACGTGGTCGATTATATCTCGGGTGGCGAGCGGGTCGCCCGTGAAATGCGCTACGTCGCGGAGACAACCGAGGGAGAACGAATCGGAGATTGGACACCGCCGTCGCCCATGGCCATGCGAACCACACGTTTCCACAAGCATTCCAGTATCTCTTCCTTTCTTCTTTCCCTTCTTTTTTATTTTTATTAATTGAACAACTTTCGAAAAGTTACCATCACGAATCCTTCGCCTTCCCAGGCTTCCCAGGGGAGAATTTCCCGGCTCGTAAGGATGTATTGACGAGGAAACCGTTGGATTTCGAGGAGGAAGACGAGGCGAGAAAATTCGAAACGTCCAAGTGGTTGGAGAGCCACTTCGGTAGCGAGTCGCGCTCCTCCCATGGATCCGTTAACGCGTTGGACGACTCGCCCGTTCCAACGAGCGCGAACACAAGTTACATCAACGTCACGATGAAGTCTTGCCCGTCCAAGGACAGGGATTATCAAAACGCCTCGAATCAACGGCATCAACGGCGCAGCACTGGCCGCGACTCGGCGTCACCTTCAGGCTACTTTCACGGGATAAGCGAGTGGTCTGAAAGGTATCAGGGAAAAGGTATTGTTCGACAAATATATATATATTTTTTTTTATTAAAAAAAAAACTTGCCCAGATCAATTATATATTTAATTAATTATATATTTAATTAATTATATATTATATATATATTTAATTATATTATATATATATATTTAATTAATTTATATATTTAATCAATTATATATTTTTGACAATGCTAGAGAGGCAGAATCAAGGGAGAACAAATTCTCCGTCCCAATACGTCGAGACGATTCACACGAATGGGCACGATCATTCGAGAAGCCAAGTCGAGTCGACGTACTCGAAAACATACGAATCCGTTGTTCGCCGCGAACACCAAGAATCGTCCGATCGATCACGCACGCCGCCACCACCCGCTCGACGAAGATCGAAAGAGCAGGTACGTAATCGACAAGTGTCGATATATGCTTAATCGCGATACACGAGATTGATCTCTTCTTTTTTTAGTGGATACCGAGGCCCGAAGAGAAAACCAGTTTAAACGAATCGACACCACCGGGCCGAGCATCCAGCCCGGTTCACGTTGTGCAAAGAACGTGGGAAAATCGTAATCGAGATGTCCAAGAGCAGGCGGTCGAGCAAGAGAATCGGAAGAAATCGGTATCGAGATCTCGGTCACCGTCGCCCACGTCGAAATCGAATTTCCGCAATAACAAGAAATCAAACGAGATCGCGACTTCGACACCTGCTCGCCCTGCAAAAAGTAAAAGTTGTATTAAGAAATAATATTTTCACTTTAACAATGATATTTATATATATATATATATATATATATTCTTTTTTTTTTAATATCTCTTTTTTAATATTCGAGGTTCCGGGCATTCGAAATACAAAATAGGGGAATCGTTCAGAAAATTGGTGGGAAAATTGCGTTCAGCCAGCAACGAAAGGAAGAGTAAACGCGCAAGTAGTAGCTCTATCTCTCAATTGACTCAGACGGACGACAGCGGTCCAACTTATATGCAGTATAACGTGATAGACAAGAACATCCCACTGGTGAACGAGAAGAATATCGAGGGGAATCCTCCCGAGAGACCGCCACGCTCCCCTAAAAACGCCACCACGAACAGTGGCTCGAGTAAGAGAACGGTGAGGACAGGCGACCATCATATTGCGACTCAAGAGCAGTGGCAACGCAGCGAATCGACACCGCCGTTGCACAGGTATTATCTGGGCGAGGATCCATTTGGAGGAAGCATCTACGGTCGCGAAAAAGGATACCGAGACGCGAGAAGATCCGGAAAGCCACGCGGTAGAACGGTCGCAGAGACCGTGTACAGGTAATCAAGCTAAACTATAAAAAGAGAAAAAAATAAATAAATAAAAATAAAAAAAAAAGAAAAGGCATTAAACAGGCTGATTGATGCATATACGTTACTACACATTAGCTACGTCTCTTGTTCAAGTTAATCGTTAAAAAAAAAAAAATAAATAAGATCAACGGTATCGTATTGCCCGACTGCGAGAGAAAGGTGTAATCGTATGAGGGAATCGAAAGACATTCCTTGTAAGCTGATACAGATTTACGTAATCGAATCTGTAGAAACGGTGCTTCGCTTATTGTTAAATTTTATAATATATATATGTACATAGATAGATATATAGATAGATATATATATATATATATAAGTACATACACGTATACGTATTTCGATGAAAGTCGGTCGCTTCGGATGCTGGGTGAAGGCTGCATGAAAGGGAGTTTGAAGCATGCCTATATGCCTCTAGTAGTTTTGTATCGACTCGTCAACTCGTCTCGAAGAACGATTCCTTCACAATCAAATTTGTCGAATCGACGCGTTTCAGCGTCGCATCCAGTTCACTTGGCAGATTTAGCAAGTCTACCAGTCGATTAGCCAACGATCACGAGAGAGAGGATCACTGTAGGAGCACGCAAACCCTGCCGAGGAATCTGCACACCGGGGGACAATATGTTCGGTCGCAGCCTCAGTCGAGACGTCAGCCACCAGTTGTTAGTAGCACGAGCAAATTGGGAACGTCGCATGCCACCATCCCTTCATCGGGTAACAAGTCGCGTCAATATGGGAGCATGATCAATATTTCCATCAAGAACACGGTCACATCGCCGAAAGTGTCAATATCGAGCAATGTCCAACCACCGGTCAAGCCAGAACGAACTTACAAATCCTTGTCGCGTAGCAAGAGTTTTAATGTCGAGGCTGATAGAAATGGTACCAATACACCACCACTCAGAATACCGTACACATCTAACTTGCATTTAAATCGATTAGATGAGACGCCTCCATTGAAGAGTCCAGGCATCTTGGCCAGTATCAATCGTAGTAACAAAGATCTATTGAGAAACGGTAGACACGAGTATTGAGTTATCTTTATTAAATTTTTCTTCGATTAGAGACTTTTTAAATAATTTCACAATGAACTGGTTCTTTCTTTTTTTTTTTTTTTTTTTTTTTTTATTATAGTGGAATTCATCGCGCGGGTATTATTATCGTGAATAATTTAAGCTTTTTATGTAAAATATTTATAGTGTAAAGTATTATTAATATTGCCCACATTGATCATATAGATCATATGATAAGAGGATAGATTTGTTTTGTATAAACCAATGAAACTATATTTTATCTTAACTTTTTCAAACAAATTCTTATTACAACACAATTCACGTATGATTTATTTTTTTCTTAGTTCATGTATTCAGTTACAAGTCCAAGATTACATATCATTGGTAGATGGGAACGAGATAGCAATAATAATTTGTTTTTAGAAATATGTGATTAAATGTTAAATCTTGCAATATTTTATTTCTGTATCATATTAAAATGAAATTATAATTCTTTCAGAATAGTTGCCTTTATAACATTTATTTTGATATATACAAAGATATATACAAATTGCTTTACTAAAATAATGTATAAAATTTTAATAAATCAGACTATATATATCGATATTTAATGAATAATATTAATATCATATCAATTATACAGTCTATTCATAGGGACTCATAGGGACTTTTTAAAAAAAAATGATATTCAGAAAATCTAGATTTTAAAAAATCAATATTTAGTTCGATTTTATTTGTTGATTTATACCATTTCGAAATAATCTTCGATGTTTCTTAATCGCAAATATTAAAAGAATGGCATTTAAGATATAAATACTAACACAGACCACGCAAATATTATTTAATTTGTATAAAATTAAAGCTAAAAAAATTGTACCGATGTTTGCAAAAATTCCTAATGTTACAACCAAAATTGATGTAACATATCGATTTGACACACCTAAAAAATTGTTATTATAAATATTATTAAGAATAAAAAAAAAACATATTTTACCTCAATTGACAATTTATTGAATACAATACGTACTCAGTATTGCGACTAAAGTATAAAATATTAACCCATATATAGGATTTGGTATATATAAAAGAGATGTTTTTGGAATTATTCCAAAACCTTTTCCATATCTGCAATATAAAATCAATTATTTATTAGACTATGTATTAAAAATAAATTTAATCACTGAAATATTTTTAAATTGAAAAATAAAATGTATTAATTTTTCTTATAAAATGGCATTAAAATATTGTAAAAAAACTTGATTCAAAATTCAGTCTGAACGCATGCGCGTGTCATTGAAATTAAGGTTGATTTCTATGTAGAATAATCCTTAATACATAATTATATATGAAATTTATCTTAAGTATATATATTCACATTTATAAATTATATCGATTCAAAAATATGTCTTTAAAGATTTAAAATTAAATAATATATTAAATAAAATGTTTTTCTTTTATTATAATCTTGAAAATTTGCATCAATCATAAAACACTTCATATTGTGAACAAGTTTTATATATTTTTCTTATACACAAAATATATATTATTAGTTTAGTATCATATATATATTTTAAAATAATATCTGCATACTTACTCAGAGAAAAATGCTTTTGTGCAACTAACGTGCTCACTGATATCGCACATTGCTTCGTATAAATTATCATTTTCCTTTGCAACTTCTATAGAGTATGCGTAATAAGAAACAGCAAGACCTACGATACATGTTGTGATAATTCCGACGTTCAATTTCCGCATAGTTTTTGCAAGGTTTCTGTTATAATTTTTTACAGACATGATTAAATTATATAAATATTTATTAAATTTACACTTTGTTTCAATATATACTTTTATAGGAAAGAATGATTGATTCAATTCACACTTGAAAATTTTCCGATACTTCCAGTCGAAATTAATATTCTTCGTACGAGTAAATTATACAAATGCCACGATCGATAATCAAGCGAATGTGAAACAAAATATAACATAGAACGTTGATTGATCTACTTTAGCAGAATTCCGAACACTGACTAAAAACTCTTTTATTCTATTACAAGATTATATTAATGAGATAAAGATAATATCGCAAATCATCTAAATGTATCAGATATTTCATATTTATACAGATGTATCAATAGTTATTTTGTGATTTTTTTATCAAACAATTTCAATTTAATTTTTAAAATTGATTAAAATTAATAAAATTGTAAGTTGGAATACTTTATTTTACGATTTGTACAATGCTTATGAGATTTTTAAATACATTTTTTTTTTTTTTTTTAAGATATTGACAGTTTAAAATCTGCAGAATGAATAGATGTTTTGAAACTATATCACGTTTTTTAATTTTCTTACATATCTTATTTTCACGACTTATCAATAATTGTCACTAAGCCTTAAGAATTAAATTTTTTAACTTAAAAAAGAAATGCTTTCCACATTTTACAAATAAGTGATAACATAATTTATTGTGATATTATGTAAAATTTTTCAATAATATTTTTCATCAGAATCAGAATAGGATATCTTTTTATGCTTTAATGAGATTAGCGTTGTTTTTAAAGAATATGTATATATATAAGAATTTTGTCAACAAAAACAAAAATGCAAATAATAGTAAATTAGCTACATCATATGCTAATGTTACTTATAAAAAAGATAAGAAATGTAGATCATTATTAGAATATACTATAGATATATGATAACCTCTTCGTGTAATTGGAATATTTGAATTTAATGAGACTCAATTTTATTCCTGCGGAGCCATTGCTCTGGCTTGAGCTCTCACACGCTTTTCATATTCCAAGCGATTTTGACTGCGATAAAAAGAAGAATATTTGTTGCATTATCAAACATAATATTAATATTCAGTTATTTAAAATAAATACAATACCAATATATTGTATATGCTTCTGCTTGAGCTGGATCTTTGACATTAGGTTCATTTAATAAATCTTGTATACCAAGTAGGATTTGTTTAATTGTAATGGCAGGTCTCCAATCTTTCTCTTCATCTAAGAGTGATAAACATACTGTTCCTGAAGGATAGACATTTGGGTGAAATAAAGGAGGTTCAAATTTACATTTTGGTGGACTGGAGGGATAATCATCCTTAAAAATCATACGTAATTTATATAATCCACCTTCCCATGGTGTCTACAAAATTGAATTAGATGTTATTGACAATATAATATTTATACATTATGTTATATAAAACTCACAGATTTTTTTCCTGGTATGGCACATTCCCAATTCATCAAGTTAAGAGATCCATCTTGATTTTTAACTGGTCGTGCTACAAATCCCTATAAAAAAAAATGTTATGATTTAATGCACATCATACATAAACATTGACGTTTATTTCACATATACACTATACATGAAACAATCCAAACAATACACGTTTTGATGTGAAAGGTTAGGATTCTTAACCATTCAATTATTTTAGTAGAAACAATTTTTATGCTTAATAATAATATTATTATATTGAAATTACATCATAAACAAATATATTTATTTGTTAATGAAATTTTTGATGTTGAAATAATCTAAATTTGATACATATGACCATCAAACAGATGTACACATATTAACTGTAATTGAAAAGAACAATATATCAAAAAGATATCTTACGAAAGGATGATCTTTCCTCCATGCTTTTCGCTCTTCGGCGAGCCTAGCAATCGCAATGCCTGACATTAATCTGCAACAAGTTTGTGTTATATTAGCGTAACGTACTTAGGCGCGAAATATAATCGAGACGCTGTGGGAATGTGAATTCTGACGTTACCACGATGCTTATCGATAGCAATCCACAACGTCGAATTCTAGGCACTTTATGCGCCGAAATTTCATCAAATACTTAGCCACACAGGGTGAAAGCGATTAGGGTGCGTGTTCAGAAAACTTATAGATTTGTAACAGTCTTTAGTATTATATGGATATCCATGTGAATTCTTTTTCATAAAGACTGCATCCGTTACTAGGACCTCTGCTGGTAAAAGAGGACATATATTTTGGATAAGTTCTACAGAGCTACACCAATCAAAGTATGTGTATATTTGTCCAATTTATTGGTTGGTTGATTTATCTTAATTATATATATTTTTATTATTACTTATCAAGCATTTTTTTGTTAATTTAAATACTGATATTCTATCAAATAACATTTATTTTTAGAATTTTTTTACATAATTTCCTAATATCATGATATAAAAAATACTATTGTTAAAATTAAATATTGTAATGAATCTAATTTGTTCGATAATATTTTTAAAAAATAAGTAATAATAAAAAAAAAAATAAATTAATATATATTTGCATAAAAAAAATATAAATCCATCATAATTTTTCGTATGACGAAATTCTCATAGTTTATTTTTAAATTATTTTCTCTCTCTTTTTCTTTCTCTTTCTTTCAAATCATTAAATCATTATTTTGCTCTCTCCTATTTTGTTAAATCAAATTTTTTACATTTTTATCTTTTTTATTTTTATCTTTTATGTTATTCATATATTATTCGTATCAAATATTATATATGTATAATATATATTAAAATAATAAAAAAATATAAACGTTGAAAAGATTATTAATTTTTTGTGTATAATAGTTTTAGTTTTGACGAATATTACTAATAATCTTATCAAAAAAAATATCTAATCAATCAATCTAATATATTTTATACTTGAAAATAAAATGAAAATATTATTATGAAAATAAAACCGCACATTCTAATTTTAATCACATTCCAATTCTTTACTTTACTTTACATTATTTTTTTTCATACATACTTTTATATAATGCAATCATTGTAAAATAATTACAAAACTCGATTCAAAACTACTCATAATATTAGGATCGCATACTATAATAGGAGGACACAAGTAGATGCGAATTTATAGAAATAAATTTTCCCTTAAAAGTTACTTCTTGTATTAGGAGAATATACTATAAACAGAGGTCTTTTAATGCTAAATGGCAAATTATATAATAATAATAAATTTTTTTCGTTAGAATAATATAACTGAAAAGAGGTTTCCGAATAATATAAATATCGCTTTTATGCGAAAATTTACATTAAACTTTACATTTTCATTTCAAAATTATACGATGAAATAATATATTGAAATAATGTTGCCTAATAATAGACAATATACATCTGAAAAAATATAACTAACTTACCTGCATACTTCAAATAGATTGTGTTTCAATATTAAAACATTATTAAGTGAATTTATAGTCATATGAATGTGGATGTGTCAAAGTCATTCCTTTTTTTTCTTTATTAAAACTAAAAAAAACTTCCTTTTTCAAAAAGACAAATTTTTATCACGGATCATATAACGTAAATGAATATAATGTTATATCAAAAATCTAATCAAAAGTCAAAATCTATACAATTAAAATTGGATTTGTACAAAATTTGCAATCTTTAAAATAACTTAATAAATATTGTTGAAAAATTTATCAAATATTTTTTTCTTTTTAATATATATATATATATATAAATGATCATAATATTTCGGTAAATGATTACAAGTCGTTGTTTTCCCATCTTAAAATATCTAATTATCGCAATATGCATTAGCGCACTGTGTAAATCGAATGTCTGCGTCTGCGCTCATATTTTGCAATATGTTCTCTTCTAGTTAAACCCTCGCATCTTAGTTATTCATCTGACAGAAGAGGATCAGCTTCGATTTTCTTATTAGCATTACTAGCCCTCAGTCGATGTTTACGTATTATTCGAATATGATCTTTTTATTTCTTGTGTACTCGAACGATTAAAAAATACTTAATATCGATGGAAAATTCGTGATTCAACTTTTATTGAAATCAGATCAGATTTATTACTTTTTTTTAAATGTGCAAAATTATCTTCCAATTTAAATCCAAAATGAGAGAAATATCATGCCACATTTTTTTGTAAGTAAACTTTTTTTTTTACTTTAGCTTCTCATTATTTTCATTTTCATTGAATATTCAATCTTTCATGCAATTCCTTTTCTATGCGAATCTTTCAAGATTAAATTTAATAAAAATTTATTTTAAATCAAAAATTTAAATTTTCAATAATTTGATTACAAATTGATTAAAATTATCAATCATTAATAAAATACTAGTATTAGTGCTATAAAAATTTAAAATTTAAAATTAAAAATTCAAACAAATATTATACAAAATAAATATTATATGATCAATAGAAAAAAAAAAAAAAAAGAAAAAAAATAATAAATTTCTTTTTCATTCAAAGAGAAAGAGAAAATTCGAAGAAAAATTAAGACAATAACGATTAGATAAGTAACGAGTCATCATTATTATTATTATTTGCATAAACTATGGCGCATATGAAGTTTTGCGCACTTCCTTGTTTATAAGAGAATTAAACTATCAAAGATTAGATAATATTGTGTCGTTATTTTTTAAAACAATATCCAAAACTTGCATGATCAAAAAAAAAATAATGGAATGGATAAATAGATTTTTTGATTAAACTTGTATAAAGTTTTTTTTAATAATTTTTTATTATTAAAAAAAAAAAAAAAAAAATAGCAAGAAAAAGATAATAATAAAATATCGTTAATAATTACTGATATTTTTGAATGATTAAAATAGGATATTTTTCTGGATAAATTTGCAATTTCCATTGGTTCATACGTATGAAGAAAATTGTGATTTGTATCAAACAAAGTTAAACACGAGCACGTTGTGCAAGCAACATGATCATCGTTTGGTTTGTTTTCACGGTCTCGAGGATAAATGGAAGAACGGGTGATTATCACTATCATCTTACTAATAAGTATTTAAATAAGAGAGAAAAGTATTTAAGGATAATTGTTTAGAGGTCAAAACGTACGAACATTGGTGTTCTGCTATTGGCCCCTGCCAATTTTCGATCCTCAGGATGTTCTACAGGGATTTTCTTCTTTAAAAAAGCTTGAAATCAAAAAAGGAAATTTAACGACATTAATTTCATCATTTCCAAATGAATCTCGATTGATTGAGGTTTGGTCGTTTCTTTTTTTTTTTTTTTTTTTTTTTTTTTTTTTTTTTTTTTTTTTTTTTTTTTTTTTTTTTTTTTTTTTTTTTTTTTCTTTTTTTTTCTCTCTCTCTGATATTATATCGATTTTGTTTTTTATCAATGTAAGAGAATACATTTCTCCCTTCTTCTTTTCTTCTCCTTTAGAAAATAGAAATAACCGGGACTAAATTAAAGGAAGTTCCAGAGAATGCATTTGCCAATCTTTCGAACTTGAAGATCCTTGATTTTCGAAATAACAGTTTTCCAGAACTCAACGTTGAAACTTTTAATATTCCTTCTTTACATCACATTTATCTCTCTGGTAAAAAATTAAATAAAATTCGTTAACATTTTTTTTTATATGTATCTAATTTGAAAAAAAAAAAAAAAAAAAAAAAANAAAAAATGTAATAAAAATTCATTCATAAAGGTAATCCTTTAAAATGTACGGAGGATACGAAGTGGATATTGAGCAGAGAAAAGGGCTCTTTGGGACACAAAATAGCTGATAAGGAATATTTGCGTTGCACGGTTCCGTACGATGGCAGAGCATTGATCCCAGTTGTAGAAATAATCAATGTAATCGATTTCACATTATTATAGTTTATTCATAACAACAATCATTAATCTATAGATCTCTAGATCTTTTAAAAAACTTGATAAATTTACTATTTCAGACTTTGAAAGAGGAATGTACAAAGACTGTATGTGAATGTGAATTGGTATATGTGGTTGGTAATGGAGGAAAGCACATTTACAAGCAATTAATGGCTTTTGCTTCGGTAAATTGTAGCCATCGTGGATTAACCGAGATGCCAAGCTTTTTGCCCGCAAATACTACCACTCTTCATTTATCTGGAAACAAGGTTGCAATTCTATAATTATAATTAAGATTTTGAAGTTTTGTTCCTTTTCTTTTTTTCATATTTGAAAGATCATTAAAAAAAAAAAAAAAAAAAAAGAAAGAAAGAAAGAAAGAAAAATAGGATTTCAATTGCAGATAAAGGATTTGAGGCCACTTACAACGAATCCTGTGTACAAGGGAGTGATAGACCTGTATTTGGATGGTAATAAAATCGAATCGATCGTTCAATTGGAGGGATCTAGTTGGATGGATCATTTTCGATTGTTCAGTCTTCGTGGAAACAAACTAACGGATGTTTGTATTTGATTTTTTGATTATATGATTGAAAAACATGTTACTGAAACAAAAACAACCAAAGGGATTTGCATTTAAGTGGATTCAATGTGGATTAGCATGTTAATTAAGATTTGAGCGATGATATGAAATGATAAACTTTTCTTCTTCTTCTTCTTCTTTCAGCTGCCTACATATGCTCTAGAAAATGTATTACAACACAATGGAAATGCAGTAAGTTTGTATCTTGGGAAAAATCCATGGACATGCGACTGCCTTTTTACACCAGGTTTCCAGGTAAAATATAAAGACAATGAAAGCATGGTTATCCCCTTTTTTTTTTTTTTTTTTTTTATTTACATATAAAGAAATCACAAAATATTATAAAGAATTGAGAATATTGAAGTTTAAATAATTTATAGGATCTTCTAATTAGATATACAAATCTAATAAAAGATATTAACGATATAAGATGTTCACCTGACAATGGGGATGATAATTCCGATAGAATTGTAAGTTTTATTTATATTAGATTAATAATTTTTTTTTTAATTAACTCTTTCTTAAAACAAGATATCTAAACGATTGAAATATATTTTTGAAGATAAGAGATTTGAAACGCAGTGAAATTTGCGTTTCTTCCGATGAAGATTCTATAATCCATCCCTTGGACATCTTAAATATTATTCTTGCATTTCTGATATTTTTAATCATTGGAAAATTACTTTACGACTATTGGTCTTTCAAGAAAACCGGTCAATTGCCTTGGATCGTTACTAAGATACCATAATATTATGAAATACTACTAATTTTCAAAAAAAAAAAAAAAAAAAAAAAAAAAAAAAAAAAAGCTTACCTTAAGTCTTGCCTTCTGATCTTCATAGTATTGATGGTACAATTCATCAGCGGCTGCTTTCTTGGCCACACATTCTCTCAAGCCACGACCTAAATTTATTTAGAGAAGAAGGCTAAATAAAACACAAGAAGAAAATAAAATAGAGCAAAGAAATACATTGAATAAGGGAAGAAAAATTATATTTATATTTCTAAAAGTAAACCTTCGCTAGTGTAGCCTAGGGCGGAACAAGTGGCGACATAAGTTAAACCCTGATACGTTTTCTCTTTTTCTACAGTATATTTTGGAACCGAAACGTCTTTTTCAAGGCAAAGTTGGTATAACTTTCTTTGCGCAGTTTCTCTCAGACCGTCCATGCCTAGATTAATTATCTCTAACAATCTGCCAAATGGAATACGTTCAATGATTAAAATATTGTTCGACAGATCAATAATTTATAATGGTTGTGAATTAAATTTTTATATATTACATACTCTTCACGTGTAAGATCGGCGAGCGTACCAAGTTTTTCGTCCTTCATTTGTTTATTTGCAATCATTTGCAGAATTGTCGCGGCCAGATCGTTTTTGGTTGATTCTTCGGAGAAACCTCTACATGTTGCTGTCAATTTTAATACGCAAGGTATTAAGTAATTATCTATTTTGAGAATTTGAGGAAAAAAAAAATTTTGAATGAATCGATTTTTATGTAATTTTTAATATTCATTGTGTCACGTTATATAGATGTTAGATAGAGTTTTCTCTAGCCAATATATATATATATATATAAAAAAAGAAAAGAAAAATAATAATGTTTGTAAAGAAGAGAAACATAAACTTACGAAATCGTATGAAAGAATGTTTAAAATTTAAGATATCGAATGAATTTATTATATATTTACATAAGACATTACCAGCAAATCCACCAAGATTTCCACGTATCACATAAACGCTTGATTTGAGACGATGCGGACTTTCATTATATTCGTATTCGATCGAGATTTTGCAACGTTTTGCATAAGTTTCTAAGATGTTTAACGGGGTCCGTAGGTCAACTATTGGTGAATTTTCATCACCACTACCCTTTAATTAAAAGTGAAATAAAAAAATTTGTAAAAAATTTGTAAAATAAATTAGACATATAAATATATAAGAAAACGATAATTTTTTTTTTTTTACTTTGATTGAAACGTTTATTCCATCATTAATTTCGATTAATTTTTGAGGTTTCATGTTTCGTTCGGAAGTAATTTGTATAACAGAATCACCAGCATCTATTTCTTGACGATGCAGAATAATGCAAGAGTCCTCGTGCTCTATAAAATATTTGCATCTAATATAAATTTGTTTATTAAATTAACTTGAAATTTTAAATAAAATTACTATTTATATAACTTTCTGTTTTTGTTTCTTCACAATTGACACGTTTTTCGAACATATTAATTGTTTTTTTAACAGATTGTACCTCGTCTGGAATTAAGAATTAACTTAAAATCACAAAAGAAACAGTTTTATAATCATTATTAATACCAGTATCTTCTCGTAGAGCATTATCTACTATTTTACCCCATTCTTCTAAGCTATGTGCCTCTTTTATTATTTGATAGTTATCTAAATAAAAGTAACGATCAAGTATTCAATTATTCATTATATACATCATTATATTACAATCTTATCATTAAATAGAATTATGCAAACTTGTTTCAATAGTAACTAAAGAAGATTCATCACTAGAATGTTTCCGTATATTAGAACGATTTAGCGTAATCAAATCAAGCGATTGACTTTCGGTATCCTGTTCTTTAATAACTGAATCTTGACTCTTATTCAAATTGATTTCCGTTGCATACATACTAGTTTCAGAAACTTGTGTTTCTGCCACGTTTTTGTTTATGGTATCACTTTCTACAATCTACAGTAGAAATATAATTTAATTGCTAAATTTGAATTATAATCGATTTCCAATACCTACGTCGTTTTCGGTAGCTGATTCCTTAGCGGAAATCATTGCAGTTGATTCTTCTGAATCTTGTGTGCAAAAAGAGGTTGATGTCTCTAGAGAATTGTGAGAAATTTTTCTTAAATTCTACTTTCAAAAATGAAATTTACCTTATATATTTCAAAATGTAGATTAATTAAAAGACTTTATTAAAAATGATTGAAATCTACCAATTTCACGACAAGGTGCCCTCAGTTGTTGGAGAAGATCTTCTGCTCGATCGATAACTGCTTCCATTTCACATAAAAGCGGTGCAGCATTTGGAAATCTTTCAGTTATCATACTCCAAACGAACTCGGCATCCTCTGTACCTTGCAATGATTTCGGCAAATCATGTTTTTGACACGTGGAATCTCGGCGTTCAGACATTCGAACAACACAGGCTTTATTATCCTTATTTCAAAATATTAAAGACCATCTATTCGATTGCCAGACTGGCAAGGAAGTCATATATTTAAAAAAAAAAAGTGTTTTGACTTCATTGACAGATTGACAACATTTAAAACAAAAGACGATGAGACATATAGCGACATTGAGTTTGCTTTGATAATATTTATATATATGTACACTATTTGTATATTCAATGAATAATGCGCAAAAATTAATTGAAATGTAAAACATTAAAAAGTGTGAATAAAACTTCTTTCTTATAAATATATATCTTAAAATCCACAATTACAAATACATGTTCGCAGGAATATGATCTACTTATTTACTAACCACTTGACGTTTATGCTTTCTATCAGACGAGATACAGAATAGATATAACATTTAATGCACTTCTTGTTCCATGTTTCGAGAATACTAGAATATTCTTACCATTTTAGTTTCATCTTTAACGTTATCGATTTGACTTAGAATAAAATTAAGACATATTGCAGTTTTGTAAAAGAAATGATGAAAATATGTTCATTGACATTCCGTATCTCGTCTGTAATCACATGCCAAGAACAAATACAAACAAGAAAAACAAATAATGAGAAAAGGATAGAAATATAATAAAAATTAGGGAATTAGCGCCATCTCTAGAACACAAATGAAATAAATATAAAGTAAAATAAAAAGAACAAAAGTAAGAAAAAAACAAATAAAACAGAATAAGAATTGATTATCAGCGCCATCTCTTGAATGCTAAATTTATCTCTTTAAAAATATTCAAGATATCGCTAATTTTCGATTTTTGCTTTCTTGAAAAAATATATTTGGCACTCAAGAGATGGCGCTGATAGTTAATTCTTGTTATATCATTTTTTTCTTCAAGTTTCGTAGAAATTTTAAAGACGATGGAGATTCTCCAATTACTCAAATTTTTCCATTTGTTCGCTTTCTTTTCTTATATTTGCTCTACAAAAAAATGTCTTGTCTTTCTCGTTTAATCTTTTGATTGTAAAATTTTTATCAGAATTTATTCGATGTAATTTTTATATATCATAAACAAACATATTCGTTTTTGTCAAATATATTTTTATATATATTTACATTTTTAATTTATGAATAATTCAATTCTATTCATATTAGTCATAAAAAAAATTATGGATACAGTCCAATATATATAACATATAGGAATATTTATAAAAGAATGTATCTAAGAAATTATTTTTAAAACTTATTGACTTTATCAATTTTAAATTGAATTAAATATAATTTTTTGCATTCAAAATCATAATGGACATATATGATTTTTTACACGATTAGATATTTCATTTTTGCATTTCGTTTGACATTTTTATAAAGAGATTGAAACTTGAAAATCGATGATATATCTAATATTTAAAACTGATTATCTGAATTGTAAAAAAATTTGTTTTTAACAAAATATTTAAATAAATAAAAAATATTAATAATTGAAATAATTAATTAATAAAAAAGAAAATAAAAATATAGGCTTAGCGCGAAATTTTATTGATAAGATACCGCTTACCACTAAATTTAATACACATCACATAATTTCCTTATTGTAATGTGACTGTTAGGAATATATACAAAAAGCCATTATAGAGAATTCCTTGATATAAGATGATACATCAAAAAATGTATAGAATTCATTTAAGGTACGTATGAAGACATCCTATTTCTCTAAATGCGAATGGTGTTTTTCAGATGACAAGTGTACAATCAAAATTACGTATAACTAATGTACACAGATTGGTTCCATTAAGTAAATCATGTACAATTATTTAATTATACTTAAGCCGATTGTTAATTACATTCACTTCTTTTGTTTCGCTGTCCCTCATTTTACAAGATCTAAAGAATTTCACTTATCCATAATACGATGTACATGTTAATTACAAGTAGTAATGTCAAAAAAATCGACGTTTCTTAAAAAGAAAGGCATGAAAAATTGGCTTCTTAAATATATTTAGTCGTAGAAAAAAAGAAACAAAAAGAGGAAAGTTCCTCTTTAATTCTTTTCTTCTCACGATAAAAGTCTCTTCTTTTCTTGTTCCACATTTTCTTTAATCAACAACTTTTTGTTTATTACTTTCTGGAGATTTATCGCCATTCATTGGTGAACGAGAACGGCTACGACTTTTGCTATGTTTACTGCCTGATCGAGATCTCGATATGTCACCTCGCGATCTTTCGCGGCTAGATCTATCTCTGGAAGAAGAGCTATATTAAAGAGATGACTGTGGATTGTTTTCCTTGCGCTAACTATATCGATTAAACTCACTTTGAAGGAGACTTAGCTTTAGATTTGGACTGTGACCTGGATTTTGACCTCTCAGCCTTGGACCTAGAACGAGATCTGGATTTGGACTTTGACTTAGATTTCGACTTTGAGCGGTCTCTTGATCTGGAAAATTATAGTTCAAATGAAGAAAATACAAGAAAATACAATTAAAAATGTAAACTTCTTTTTTAAATGATTTCACGTACGTTTCGTGTTAATATAAATAGAATGACAATTTTTTCAAAAAATTAATCCAAACAATGTCAAAAATAAAAATGAAATATTTATAAATATAGAAAATTTGCATTAATATTCGATAACAAATAAATGTACAAGAAAAATAGCAAATAGATGTTATACAAAATTATTTATATAACTAAAATTGATGTTAATATTAATAGAAGATTGATACCCACTTGGATTTAGATCGAGTTCGGCTACGTTCAGGTGATTTGGATTTCGATTTCGATTTTGATTTAGTATGTGCTCTTGATTTGGAACGGCTACTGCGACGGCTACGGCTGCGAGAACTACGACGACTCCTGATACAATAAAAAAATTGTAATATATTTGAACTATTACTTACAAAATATATCTAATTAAATAATTATCATATCAATTATAAGTTGTTCTAAAAGTTATTATGATGTTTTATATCATGCATGACGAATTGGATGTATGATAAATATTCATAAAAGAAAATTTTTAAATTTAACCATGAAGTATGGAAAGTAATTTTGAAATGATTGAAATTAGAAGTTAATATGCTATAAATATGATTAGTATTAAAGTAAAAATGATGGAGACATTGCCGCCCCCCCGACAGTACCTTGATCGGGATCGAGAACGACGATAATACCTTGAGCGGGAGCGGGATCGGCGACGAGATCGAGATCGTGACCGTGATCTTGATCTCGAACTTGAGGATCTTGAACGACGTCCCCGTCTTTTATCCTCGATAAGTCTGATTCTACGTCCATTTAGTTCTGTGTCATCCAATTTATCGATGGCGTTCTTCAAATCAGAATATGTTGCAAATTCTACAACTCTATAATATTAAGTTATATAATTAATCAAATTATATTTATATAACAAATAAAAATTTTTAAATCAATATAACTTACCCTTCGTTTCTGCGTTGTTTATGTGCATCTGCATATGTCACTTCACCAGCCTGTCTCATATAATCCTTCAAATCCTGAGTATCACACAAAAATACGGATTAGTATATTATAATGAAAAGAAAACGTGTCTTACAATTAATTATAACAAAGTACGATTAATATTCAGGTATGAATAAAACTAAGTTTTGTGTTTCTATACTAAAATTACGCAGAAGTTAAAATGTATCCTGTGCACTTTTATCCACTATACTTCCTCTAATATATATTATGTAATAATCTTCCTTCTTCTGAAACATATAGCATAAGAATCTATCCTTACTGAAAAAACCATGTTATTGTCTCCTGTCTGCCCATAATCTTCAGTGTTGAAAATATATGTTGAAAACATGTGCTCGAATTTAGTATCTGCGATTGATGCAACCTTTCTTTTTATGCAATTCAATCTTTAAAACAAGTATAGTCATTTGTATAGTCAGACCTCCACCCTGCAGAAAAATATAGTCTTACATATATACATAAATAATTAACATATTTTTAAAATACTTTTGTATTTAAATAAATAAACTAATGAATAAAATTTCTGCAGAGCAGCTCACAATAAAACTTCATTAAAATCATGAATATATATAAAAAAAACTTTTAAAGTCAATTTCTCTACCATTTATTTAATGCAGAAAGAAATTCTAAATTATATAATTCAATCAAAAACTATATGGACCGTTGAAAAGATGGAACTGCATAAGGCAGAGAGAAAGACAGTTGCTTGTGAAATCAAATAGTTAATGGAAGATGAATTGGTCTTGAAAATGCTGAAAAAAATTTTCCGTAGCTTTTAAAATATTTTTCAGATTATGACTTGTATTTCAAAGCTGACAAAAATAAATGTAATTAATGTATACAGGATAAGGAATATATTTTGTTTGCTATCATAATTAATAAATGAAATTCAAAATATCCAAAATTGAGCCCATGCTGAATTTCCACCTATTTTCCTTAGAAAACCAACGTAGAATATTTTTTTGCTATCATTCATTGGAGATCTTCCTTCTGGAAAATTTGTATTCCTCTTGATGTAATATCCTTTTCTTATTACATTTTCTATGATTTTATGAGGTGGTTCTGATCTATTCTTCGTAACTCATCATCCATAATGATGAAAAAAAATCTATATTTGGCATCCACTATGTTTTCTTGATCTGATTGTAGTATTTGTGGGAACCAGGTACGGCTTTATGGACTCTCTCTTGATAGATGCGTGCATGCAGGTAACTCTTGTTTTTCATCTTGATGTCTCTTGGTTATCATCCATAACACGCCACATTTTCAGAAAAAATTCATGTTCGATGTATTCGAAATTCCTATGTAATCGCATCCGGCGTGTATTGTAAAACAGTGCTAGGAATCACGTCAATACATCACAACTGTTCCGTTTTTAAATGGATAATCTGCAAATACGCTTGATGACTGAAATATTTTTTTTGTATATCTTGTACACAAACCCAAAAAAGAGAAGAAAATGGATTCTAACAAAAAGAAAGAAATTGCCTTGCATAAAGAAAAGTTGATAT